GCCAACGTCTCTTTGTGTCGTTCTTTCTTTGTTTCTTTCTTTTCTTCATTTCCTTCTTTCGTGCTGTCTTTGTTTCTTTCCTGATTTATATCTTTCCTTTGTTCTTTGTTTGTTTGTTTCTTTCTTTCGTTCGAGGGGCAAACAACCAAAAGCCACTGAAAGCAAGAACTTTTAGGAACTCCTCAAGGGGAGAGCCAAACCAGGGTAGAGCCAAACCTTTGAAAAAAAAACATGGCCCGAAGAACGCCATCTGAAAAAAAAAATAGGTTTCCAAATAACCTGCAGCTATGTCCCTCAAAAACCTCCAAAACGGCCCCACCCCCCACCTCATCTGGAAGCCCAAAGCAATGACCATGAATCTCTCTGTTTGTACTTCGCGGCTGCGGCACTTGTTGCCAATCTTGCTGCGGAACACGTCGGACGAGGCCATGCTTCTCTAGGGAAAGATGGCTTCCAGGGACCAAGGATTTTTGAGCCAATCTGTCTCGGCCAGGCAATCAACGGTATGATAGCAAAAAACGACAGGCAAGTCTGCATGAGAGGGACTCTTCAGTGTCAACCGCCAGACAACCGAAAGGTGTACAGTTGATTCCAGTTCCAGGAAGTCAGTAAGAACGAGTGTTCATGCGCAGGGTTTTCCTCCATGAGCGGTAGGATTAGGCAGTTGTTATCTTCAGTTCACAGTGGGGGCCCTGTAGCAACCAGTACGCAAGGTGCAAGTTCTTGAAACATGTTGTCTTGCTTACCTAGTCGACGCAGGGCTCCATTCCACCTTAAAACACTTAGACTCAGCTTTCCACCTAGTACTGTACCCTTGAGACACTTCAAACCTGATGCCAGCGTCAGTAGAACCTACTTATCAATTTAGGGTTCAGCGATGTAAACTGAAACAGCGTATTTACCCTCACCCAAACAAAAACTAACACGGAACCACCAAAAAGATCGAAATTCCATGGGGGCTAATTTGCTTAGTCCGCTTAATCTCCTCCCCTAATACTAACAACTCAGCCAAATCTTGATGATCAAATGCCAGTAGATACTTGAGCCGGCTTCGTGTTGGGGAAGGGTTGGGGCGTCTTTCTTAGGCTGAGCAAAGTATAGGCCATTTTGGATTTCGGATCCGTAGATTCTCATCACTTTAGGGTTTCCTCGTTTGAGCCCGCTGCAGTTTGCCCAGTTCGTTAGGCATCAAGGGATTTCAGCTGCAAAGGCCCCGGCTGTTCTCGCCCTGCTGCAGAGCTTGACCTAAGTCAGAGGATCCGGGACAGTTTTCCACTGGTTGGTAAGATGACACAGAAGCAATATACGGGTCCCTCTTCGGGTCAGACAGCTGGTGCTTTGCGAAACTTCTACCCTAGTGTCTCACTCTATGTATGCTCAGCATGTTTTAAAAGGAAGCCTACATGGGCTTCGGTCCTTCGTAAATTCCCCTATCACCTCTCCCTATACCATCCCCCAAGATTCCCCGTAAGTAATGTCCTTGAAGGAGAATTAACTAGCCTTAAGGGGAACCCTGGGAGAGGTACTGTAGCGGGGGGCGGTATGGAACCCGGGAATGTTTGTCTGGGAGAGGGTATCCAAATATACTAGGTCACTTGTTATTGCACGAGAACTGCTACCCAAATCACAGCAAGTCGCATTAACAATAGTGAGGGAAGCAGAAAAATGCACCGAACTTTGCATCTTAGATCCGGGTCTTTGAGTTCAATCTTATAAGCTCCCACTCACATCCCTCCCTCTTGATCCTCGTGAGTTGGTGCTAGGTCGGAAGTTTCACTACTGGTGCAGTTCACTGTCCCTGGCATTTCATGTGCGTGTACATGCCACTTGGGTCAATGGGGATGTCTTCGGGCTGGTAAAGAATTGGGGTGGCTCCTGCGAAGCGCCGTTCACTTTTAATGTTTCCTGTGTAGAACCCAAAGCTGACATGACACTACTGCACGGAACTGCAGTTCCACTTGGCACTGGGCATGAATGCCTTGATTGAAATGTCTGTGCCTCTGTGCACATTGCGTAGGGAGAGTGCGAACCATTCTCGTCACTGGTTTGTCATGGTCTCTCCAAACAAGGCCTTCATCTCCAAATGCGGGGCTTCTAAATACTTGAAGTGTCTCTAACCCATTGGCAGTAATCAGGGGACCATTTTCTTAGAAATTATCCATATTGCCCGGATTGGGTAAGCGGCAAGAGGCCAGCGACTACTTGGAGGTTAAGAGGTAGATGCACGTTACAAGAGGGCTCTGAAGTACCCTGTTGTCAGTTGAAATGCTGTGACTTCAAACCCTATATGTCCACATTAACTCCCTGAAGCCCTGCTTATAAGCCCCAAATCAAAAACCCAGTCAAGTCCTTCATCTCCGCATCTTGTCCCTGTAGCCCTGCTCCTAATCATGTACTACCCATGTACCTCCAAGTACATGACCCTGAACGCAAAAACATAAACCTTCAACTCCTACGTCTTAAATGCCTATACCCCAAACCGCAATCCATACCTCAGGCCGTAAACCTTAAACTTTAGATCCTTTTGAACAAACCCTCAACCCTACACCCTACATGGATCCTGTATGCACGTCCGTTTTGGAGGAGTTGTGTCCAACACTGTCATAAGATCTATTCCTAACGAGTAGGACATCCAAGCTGCAAACCCTAAATCCAGCCTCTAAAGCTGAAACCCTTGAACCCCACACCCGTAAACCCTACCCTAAGCCCCCTAAGCGCCCACACACCCTATATGCCCCTTTAGAAGGACCAACGGATGTATCTCTATACCCCTAAGCCCCTACACCCGACTTTGTGTTATTGAGGCCCTGGCTCTCCTTCTTCCTTTTGTCCACCCTCAGAGCTGTGTTTTGGCTTTGAAGATGTTGGGGTCTAAGGTTTAGGGTGTGGTCACGGCATAGGATGCTCGCCGGTGTGGGGACACGTCCAGGCTGCTCGCACCAGTGCGCAGCAGTCAACCCACCCCATGACCACCCAAAGCAATGTTCCAAAAATCTTATAGGCATCCCGGCCAGGGCCAAGGGTTGCATTTCATGTGCTTGGAGGTTCCGGCTTTCTGCGCGGCAGCTTTGCCGGATAGGTTGACATCCAAGGCCACGCAAGAACCGTCATGTTGGGTCACTTCTGAGGCTGCGCGGGACAGCAACGTCCTCATGGTGGTCTTTCACGCGGTTTTGCGGGACAAGCTCAGCTGCAGGAAGCACAAGAAACGCCAGCGGCCGCGGCGCGATTTTGCGTTACTTCCGAAGATGCGTGGGACAGCCGCGCTCTCAATGATGATGGTCAGCGTTGGCTTTCTGGAGGTCTTTGTGTTGGGG